CCTTCGGGTTTGAAGATTCAGATGCGCAAGCTGAACACTGACTTCATTGACACAGACAACATCTTGGCAAATGCGAGATGCCAAAAATTACTAAATGACCCGCGAAGCGTTAACCCTGAGCTGCAAACCCTGAAGCCTCATTCCTATAAACCCTAAAAGGCCCTGATCCCCCCCCCCCCCCCCACTTCCAGCCTGGAAGCCGCAAACTAGCGCAAGCCCTCTGGCAGCTCGCCACTGGCGAAGAAGTACTTGGATGCCAGCGAGCCCCTCAACCGCTTTAAGGCCTGAGCTTATAGGGTTTGAACCTGAGGCCAGTTGTTGAGTTCTTAGTTTTGTTTGCAGGCTCTGGATTTATCTAAGATATGCTTTTAGGCAGAACACACCAGATTCTCAACGACCTTACGTATCTTGAGTCTTGAAATGTCGGATCGAACCACGAGAAGTTGTTGCAACAGCTGTTACCCCTGGTCCGCAGCTGCACCCTCGGACGAATCATGCGCAGACGGCGACCGGTACAGGTTGAGGCTTACACTACCAGCCACTGATGCCTCTTTTCAAGGCGCCGGGCCATGCCCAACAACACAAAGATGGTTTGGAACATTGAGGGTTTAAAAGGTTAAGGTCTCCTCCCAGAGTCGACACAGGCCCATGTATGGCAACCATAAACCACATAACCCTCAACTGCAAACCCTAGAAGACCAATATCCTAGCAACCGTTTGGGCTTCTGACTTGCGGGATTCGAAGGTTGTAGGGAATTCTGGGTTCAGGATTTCGAGGTTCTGCAGTTTTCGGGGTTGAGAGTTTCAGGGATAGGCTGCCGCGCAACAGCCCCAGTGCAGGTTGGCAAGTACTTGCTGGAGCGCACACTGATCTATGCGCCGAGGTGCCAGTAGGGCGTAGCGAGTTACAGGGTTCCATGCAAGGGGTCCATCAGCGCTTTAGCACTCGCATTTGTGTTTCGAAGCTTTTGTTTGAGGGGCTACTTGCGTTTAGGGCTTTTGGGCCTCGACGTGTAGTACCGCTAAGTCCTGGTTTTCCGTTTTGGAGTTGAGGTTTGAGGGCTTATAAGGGATATATGACCCTATTTAGCTTAGGTTCTGGGCATCTGGTTCCACACTAGTACTACAAATTGGCGCACAGGGTTAGGGCTTCGCGGCTTCTTTCTAGCCATTCTAGCCCTAAACCCTAAGCCCAATGAGCCAAGACTGGAGAGCGGAAACTTTTCAATTGAGAGACCAAGCGAGCGCCGATCCAGGTGTTGCAACCGCCTCGCTCCCAGTCCGGCGCTCGGTTGGTCTCGGATCGGAGTCAAACTGGTTTTCAGTAGGGCAATAGGGAGAATACCCATACCTGACTTTTTCGTTTTGTAGATTCTCATTCTGTAGGCTTCTTATCCAGGACTCCGGACTGCGAGGGTATCATTCTATCGGGTTCTGACAATCGCCCGCAACAATCTGTTTTGGGTGTACGATTTAGTCCAGAAGCCGCCAAAGAAACATGTAGAAACTGACAACAGGAACCCTTGACCTCGGCTCCTTCATGTAGTATCGCCCAAGGCAAGAGGCCCTTTCCTGTCCTCACCCGAGTTACAACTGAATCAGGGGCTCACCCTCGGTGTCCTTGGCAGGGGCAGGTCTGGCGAAGAGGAGCTCAGACGATGCCGAGGCCAGCGGGCAGTTTTCCGTGCGTGGGAGACGTTGCCTTGGGCTTGGAGAGCTCGAGTGAGGAGAGCTGCAAAACGCATGTCGGTTTCGCATGAAGATGGTGCAGAAGCATGTGTGCCTGAATTGTGGTCCGATGTAGCCGCTGCGCCCCTGCAGTTTTACAGCTCTACAGTGGCAGCCATGCCGGGCTGGTAAGTGATCCTCCTAGACCGTTGCAATGCCCAAGAGCAATCGAAAGCGAAGCCAGTGGCAGGTCTGCGCGCGGTGCTCGGAGCAGATTGAGTGGTATGTGACGCAGGCACACTGATACGAATCATATCTTATAGCTTGTCGTGTTGGGGAGTTTTGGGCCGTCTCGATAACATGCTAGTCCCTCGAATACTTTTGACACAGGTAGCCCTGAACCCGCAACCTTGCGACCCTGAATCCTAAACCCTCGAAGCCCCAACCCCCACAACCAGCCACGTGCAGGCTGTAGTCCTGATCACACGCCAGTTTCAGCCTGGCTTGCCGTGAGCTCAGAGACCTGTGGATACCCTGGGTTAGGAGGCTCTGAGTAGTTTCTTGGCCTTGCAGAACTCAAGTTGTTCCGTAGCTTAAGCACTCAGCCGCTCCTTAGCCCTTGGCCCGGACAGCTCAGCTGAGTTGATCCCACCTTCCAGTTGTTTGCTGAGTCATTCTTTCCATGGCTGCGGAGGATGATTGATCCATGAGTCGGGGTTTGGAGTTTGAAGTTAGGATTTTCCAAGCTCCAGGCCCAAGCCCCACGGTTTCTATTCCGTTCAACAACAAATGACCCACCGCTGGGTATGCAGAGCCTTCCGTGCCTTACCCCAACCTGCACAGAGCGCGTCACTAAACTAACGTAGGGTTAAAACGTAGGTTTAGGGAACAGCTCCCCATGCGTTTTCAACTCAGACTGGGAACTAGGGCTTATATATATTAGGTTGTTAAAGGGCGGCTTGAGAGAGGCCGAATAATCCTCACAGCCTCCTAGGAGTTTTTGGGGTAAAGCTTCGGCTGGTTCAGGTGCCGGCGGCTTGCCTCAGTCTTGCGCGGCGAGGCGGCGCTGGTACTGGCGCTTGCCAGGCCGAATGGGGTTTATCCTACTAATCCTGAACCCCTATGGCTGTTTAGGGCTGAAAAGGAAAAATGTTTAGGTTGCTCAGGGCCGCTGAGTTGCTCGGGGGGGAAAATCTGACTTCGAGGCTTTCGGGGGTTACGGAGCCCTGAACCCTAAGAAGCGTAAGTCAGCAGAACAAATCTAAATACCATGTATACATATATATATATATATATATAGATATGCAAACCCTGCGTGCGTGCAGAGTGCTCTTCGTAGGACATCTAAAGGGATCCGGGGTTTGGGAACACGAAACTTCAGCTCATGAACATGGAACATGGGTCGGTCGGCCTAAACAACTGCATACCTGCGTTCTCAGCGTTTGGCGCTAGCTATCGTCAGCTTCAGAAAGAGCCGGTCTTACAGACTAGCTCTGCAGGTCATCGTCCACAGAACGGCCGGAGGCGTGGAGAGCACCCAGCACTTGTAATGTGACTCTCTTCCACCTTCGTGTGTTGTGCTCCGATGTCAGTTCGGGAATCCGGACTCCATTCAGGGAGCTGGGTGGGGTGTGTGACAAGGGGGTCAAGAGTCCCATGGAAAAGGAGCCTTGTTCCAACGGGTCCTTCACAGTCTTGTTCACAAATCCGACAGAAGGTTTCAATTCTTCACATCTAGGCGTTTCCCCAAAAAAGGGTATCCCCCCCCCCAGTATACCCAATAATTGTACTCTAATCCTTGCTCGGCGAACCTCCAAAAGGGTACCCCCTGTTTTCGGACGCCCCTTGTTGCAGACCGCATTCCTGAGAAGTGTCCATTTAAGTAGCAGTCTACCCGAATCAGATGAAACTAACAAGTAAGGCACGTTATGTCCCCGTGATTCCGCTGCAAGCCTTTGAGAATGTTCCAGGCCATCAAATCCAAGCTCTCTTCCTATGTCTCGTAGACATCGCGTTGCCTTCGCATGCGATCTTGTGCACCAGGTGGTGGCCGAGTCAGGCAGCTGGCTGTGTTTGGAGTTCAAAGGTTAGGTTTGCACTTCGGTGGGGCTTGGGCGTAGATGGCCTATGACAGAATTAAAGACAGCCTGCTTGCAGCAAAGGGACACCATTTTTGATACAGATTTGTTTCGGTTGTGCCCCGGGTTGGATGGTTGGGGATGAATGGATGGAAATGGATCCAAGAGTTCGTGGACGAATAGAATGAACGCAGCAAAGCGAATGGACTGGCTATCTGAATTATTGTGCGCATGGGCTTTTGCCATTGTCACCAAAGAGAGCTAGCATAGCACCTACTCGTGTATCGACATGTCCTTGCAGCCTAAAGCCCCGCATCCTGTGTCCGATCATCCCAACCGGATTGGACTTAGGAGGGTGGGGCTGGGGTCGGGGGGTGGAGGAGATGTGCCCCGGAACCTAAGTACAGAAACCACCCCCCCATTGTGCCCAAACCTGCATGAGTGAGAGGCCTGCCGTGGAAGCTCTCTCAGCTCTGCGCCGTGCCGGGAACAGATGTCAAGCCCCAAGCTCCCAAAGTCCGCGGCATACGTGCGGAGGTTTGTGGTTAAGCCTTTAAAGCTCTGATTCCTAGAAGAGATACTTTAGGGTTTTGGGTGCTTCGCATTCATGGTACTTGCGAGGGATTCGGGGTTGCCGACATGTCGATGTGTTGAGATGAAGGGGGAGAAGGCCCACCACCTGCACCCAAGTACCGCTTAGTAAGGGCCCTGCGTCCCAAGTGTACCTTGAGTGCTTGAGGGGGCCTATGTCTCCATCAGGGCTTCTAGCAGCAACCAGGGAGATGCGTGGCAGTACATACGCTGCAGGTTGAGGACGTAAGTGTAACACTTGACGCACATACCTTCGCCAGACAGTGACCTGCAAACCTGAAACCCTCAACCCTTTAAGCCCTAAGCAATCCCAGTAAGCCCCAAAACTCCAAACCTGAAGCCCTCAACCTTCAAACCCTAGGCGTAGCTCGCCCAAACCCAGCCACCTCGACCTGAAACCGCTTCGCCCGGCATATTAGCCAAAACAGCGCAGGGCTTCCTCTGATCAAACGCGCAAGCCCTGTGACATCAACCCTATAGACCCCTAAACTTCTAAATCTCGAAACCCACAAAGCCCTAAACCCTAAACGCTAAACCGCCAAACTTCTCCCTCCCCCCCCCCCCCCCCCCCCCCCCCCGCAAGCAAAATAGAACAAGTAAATACAAAACAGAAGTCAAAAGAAGACCTCTCTTTCTCTCTAACCCTACTCGGCTTCGCCCCCAATGCGCCTGCTGGCTGCGGCGGCCTGTGCAGTGCTCGGCGCCGCAGCCGGCGAGGAGGCTGTGCTAGGAATTCTGCTTCCAAGAGGGATCGGGCTCATCCAGACAGAATATCTCAAAATGGATTCAGAAAGAAAGCTTGGAGTTTCGGGTGTAGGGCCTTTTGCACTGTCTCGGCAGGGTTTGGGATGCAGCCATGAGGATTGGGGGTTCAGAGGGGTTTAGGCGCGTAGAGTTCAGGACAGTAGTTAGATTGGCGACCTCAACCAGGGCTGTCACCTAAGTGAGCGGTGCGATTCGGGATTTGCGAGTGTTTGTGAGTTGGTGAGCTTCTACTTTCTACTAGCTTGTTAAGGTGGTGAGCGCAAACCTACAGGTAGCAGAAAGTATAGTTCGGGAGTTGATCTTCATCGAAACCCTACAACATCTAAGGCACACTCCCACAGTCCCGCCAGCTGAACCCTAAACCCTATACACACTGATATTGTAAACCCCAAACCCCAAACTCGGTTCGCCAGCTCTGCATCTGCCGGCTCCGCGGCTGCCGGCGTGGTGTCCTCCGCTCGGCGGAGCTCTGTCTCAGCCCCTTGGTGAGCGGTTCAGCTTCTTTGAATTTAGGGTTTTTTGGGGGGGTATTGTTTTCATGGAGCTGATTCTTCGTTTCGGGGCTTTGGGGTTAAGGTTTCTAACTGGTGTAGGTGGAGGCTAACGTGTGCGTGCATTTGTGCTGCACCACAACTTCTTTTTGTATCTAGTATGGTGATGTTGGCCATGACCCATTCTTGTGCTTGGCGTGTTGTCTGGCACCGGCTTTTGTCGGCATTCTTCTGCATAAGAAAGCTGCCCCCGCATCTGCTGCGTACCTCGCGCGCGGCTCTTTTCTACAGAATCAAGCCATATTCTTATTGCGAAGAAGCCAGGACACTGTCATGCCAACAGCAGCGCAGGCCACACATGGCCACCGTGCCCGCGCCATTCTAGCGACATCACCATCTCAAGGAAGACGAACTCAACAAACTACGTATGTGAGTCGTGCAAGCCTCTAATATGGCCAGGAATCAACACATGTGACACCCTAAGTCCCAAAATTCTGAGTTTTTCAACGCCTTGAACCCTGACGCCCTGGAGTGGGGACCGCCCACGAGGACCAGGCGACGTCGCCCTGGCGCTCGGTGTGTCCGGTGCTGGGAAGACGACGCCACTGGACCTGGAACCCTAAACTATACAGTCTACAGTCCCCAAACCCTGATTCAGTAATCAATAATCTCAACGGTGAGAAATGCGGCTGTAGAGGGGATAAGGAGTGTACCTTAACCCTAGAATGTTTCGGTGATTTTTGAAATTTTGCTCTGTCAGCCGAATTGTTTTGACTGCCCCCTGGGTGCTTGTCTGGGCCTGTTCGCGTCACTAAATTGCAGAAGTTATCAGAAGCTCAGCTGTGGCGTGTCGAGCTTCGAGTGGTTTGGTCTGTGGTCTTTGAACCCATTCAACAGCTCCCGACCCTAAGGGCCCATCTTGAGTACAACCACCCCTTCCAGAAAGCAACCCTCAACCCAAACAACCAAGACTCTACAGATCATCCCTAAAGAGACCAAGGCTTCTGAGCCTACTGGCCGATCGCCAGGCAGAGGCTGCGGCCGCTCGGACTGGACTTCTCACATAGGATTGGGCAGGCTTTAGGGTTTAGGGTTTAGGGTTTAGAAGCCCTAAACCCTAACTCCTAAACCCTCAGAGCTTTGTGGGGTTTTGGTATTGGTTGGCGTTTATAGGCTTGCAGGGTCTCTGTTAGGGTCTACCGCGAGGTTTGTGGAATTGGATTATTTTAATATAAGAGTTTGGCAGCTGGCTTGAGGCGGTATGTAGGGTTCTGGCTCCCCGGTTTCGCGCTTGGCATGGTAAGCTTGCTTTTTTTATACACCCTGAAAGCTTCATAAAGCCCTACAGTGAAGCACTAGAACCCTCAGACCCTAGAAGTAAGTCTCAACAAATCCAAAGCAACGATTCGGAGAATTGGAGACCCTGAAATGGCTGAAATGGCCCCAATATTGAGCCCATCCGAAACAACTTCCACGGCCGAGGAGGAGCTTTACATGCATCCGGATCTGCCGACTTCCCTTGAGGCGAGGACACCTGGCGCAGTGGTGGGGAAGCCCTGGAAGTGGAGAGCTAGCGCTCTTACAAGCCCTATGCATAAATACAACCCTGGATTGTTCTTTAATGTTAAACCTCATGTGCACTCTCCCAGTGCTTCAGGTGCTTGATGGAGACTCGGGGCAGCGGGATGCAGAGGAGGCATGGATAGCTGACCCTACAGTTTTTGGCATCGTTGTGTGCGCGGAGGAAAAGATTTCGGGTACAGATTCATCAACAGCGTAGCCGTCGGCGGCGCTCTCTCCGGAGGCCCTGGCCCAGCTGACGCCCGAAGTGCGCGCTGCCTGGCGCGGTTCCTGGCTGGTCAGTGTGCGACGTACCCCTCGCCAACTTGGGGAGACAAAATGCGACTTCGGGTTCAGTCCCGGGTCTAGGGTTTCGTGAGAATGCTGAAGGCAAAAGTCACCACACTTTGCTTGATCCACTCTTACAATGCTAGCTGACGAGTCATTGCTGAACCTGAGACATCATTAAGTACAGGCTAAATGCCGGGGCCCACAAACTTATATTCGCGCATTTGTCTTCACAAATCCCTGCCCTGCCGGAATCTGCGCACCAAATCCCGAGATCCACAGGGGCTTAGCGGACAAAGCGCCGCTGACCGCCCGCACTGCACGCTGGAAGGCAGATGGCATTATAGTAGTTCAGGGTAGAGTATACGCCCCTAGGCGCCCTAAACCCCAAACCCAGGCTCCAGGGTTAGGGTTGAGGGATTCCTGGGTGATGCTTTTGATTAGATTGGCTCATCAGCATTGTTGGGTTGGGTGTGCCCGGGCATGAATCCGAGGTTGAACCTTGGCATCTCTCTCTGAGGAATTGATGGGGCCATTCTTGAACCCTTTGCAGCCACAGCAATGGAAGACCTGAAGAATAAAGACCCAACCAGCTCCATTGTCTGGACCCGCATTGGGTATTTTGTATTTGTGTCTGTGTGTTTAGTTTTTTCGAAGGGGGGAGAGGACCCACTTTATGGCTAGTATGACGGTTTATCATCAGCTAATGAAGCACAGACACCCAGGAAAGAGAATGCCAAGTTGCGATCTCAGGTCCAGATAGCCTCCATCTTTCGGGCCAGCCCTGTTGACGATGTTGGACCCTGTGGGTGCCTGTATAAGCGTATAAGCGGAGCCCTCATATGGCTTAAATGACATCCAAGCTCGAAGGCCTTGTGTGCTCAAGTCGTGGCGAAGCAGCGGCGGGCTCAGCACCACATTCAGGGTTTCAATCTCGTGAAGTTGCATGAAAATTGACTTTCTCAGGCGGTTCAGTGAAGGCACAGGCATCATTCAGGTGCTACTGCAGGGGGGCATCATGCAGTTGCTTGGCGAATCGATACATAGTATAACCAATCCAGAGCGATACCTGCATGTTGAATGCGTCTCTCTGGCGAATCGATACCTGATACCAAAAGTGGAATGAGACCTCAATGTTCAATGTGTTACACTCTGCCGCAGCGATGCCTAATGCCAAAGCCGATACTCTTGCATGTAGTTCCGCTCTGGGTCCCTTGAATAGTGCCACCCACTCATACCCCTTCCACAGCAGAAAAGGCAAACTAAACTCTGGAATCCCCACCCTACCCTCCCCCACGAAAACTCAGAAAACTCCCTGAAACTTGAGAAGCCTCTACACACCCCTTAAATGCCCTACCCCGAAGCTTCGCGGAGGGCCCCAGCACCGGGCCTCCTGCTCCTGGACGAGGCTGGGAAGCGAAAGCTGGGCCTTCAAGTCCGTTTGAGACGATGTCTGGGCTCCTCGAAGTATGTGTGTGAGGCGTATACAGGACTGATAGCGCCTTATAAGGATGGGATGGTGGCTTTAAAGGGGTTGGTTGGACTTAGCATGCAGATGCACAAGAGACACAAAGCTCCACCTGAATCTCCTGTGGATTGCATCCGGCCTCCCACTTGCGGGATGAGTGTTCGCATGGGATTGGCAACTTGCATCTTGGGGAGCTCCTTAGGATGGACCTTCGTCGGAATGGTGGGTAATGGAATCGTAGGAATGGTGGATAACGGTGGTTAGCGGGGGGTTCAGGTCAGTCACGACGGTGGGTAATGGTGAGGAATTGTGGGTAATGGTTGGTACAGGTGGGATGGTAGGCAATGGTGGGAATGGCGGGAAGTGGTGGGTAATGGTGGTTTGGGAATGGTGGGAGCGGTGAGTAATGTTGGGTAATGTTGGGTAAGGGCGAGCGTGGACCGGCCAGTCACCTTGCGTCTTCGCACGAAGACGATAGTCCAGCAAATGTGCAACGGACAGCCCTCAATCTTTTGCGCAGCATGAGATATCACTACCCCAGAACCTGCTCAGCCTGCTAGCTTGCCATGGATTGGCCGGAACTTGGTGCAACGGGCAACGTCCGCTTTGAGGCAGGACAGACGGTGACCGACGTAGCACATTGCTGCCACCTCCTTCCTGTTCTGTTCGCGGTCAAATGCGTGTGAGTGCAACCCAGTTTCCCCTAGAAGGGACCCGAGACCTTGATGATCATATTGTTATGGGGACCAGGGGCAGCTCAAAAGGCCAGCGCAGGTTGCATTGAATGGTGCCGTACCCATTAAGCATATCCAACCTGTCTAGATAGCTGGAGAGGTCTTGGCTTGCAAACATGTGCCGTCCCTGGGCTAATGTTCTGTGCTACGTATAGTTTGGGTGACTCCATCGGCCTGGTCGAAGTCCTTGCAGTTTCCGCGCTGTTGAATTGCAATTTAGCAGCCTGCCAGTCCTGCTATGTTGGAGGTTTCGCTAAAGCATGTTCAAGCACGTTCCCTGGCGTCTCCAAGCCTACGTGCAGATTCCGTTCCCCGACTGCAGGTGCTGCTGCTGAGCGGCAGGTCAGGGACGATAGACTGCCGGGAAGAGGCAACCCTGGCCTCACTGGAACAGCAGATCGCCACGGTGCTGGACTTGACCCCGCAGCATGGCACTTGGCCCCGACCCCAGACTTATGGGCTGATTCTCACTGCATCAGATCCCATTGTCTGCGTGTGTGAGAAGCCACAAAAGCTCTGAAGGCCTCCTTTGCGCTTCCTGCTGGGTGCGACCGTGTTGAAGGACGGAATGCCTTGAACTTGAAATCTGTGAGTTCCGCAGTCCACAACGGCATATTCAGATGCTGAAGTCAACGTCCATCAGCGTTGTGTGACCCAGATGCTCAGCATCCTCGAACCTTTTTCCCCTATGCTGAATTGTCGTGCTCGGCAGGGTGGCGCATTTCAGCTTGAAAGAGATCATGTGTTTCTAGCAGATCTAATTCAAGAGGATCATAATAGATCCAACAAAGGCAGGGTTGGAGCTGGCTTCAAGACAGACTTCGAAACCTTGATATCCCGCGTGTTTAGCCAAAGAGAGTGGTGCGTGTGTCACGCCCGCATTTGACTTGGCAGGATCATGTCGTCGCAAAGGACCTGAAAGATCAGACCGTTACAGTAATGTCTCCCAGCTAAACAAGGTTTGCTGCCATTAGGGTGATTGCCCTTTGCACCCAAGATTTCGTGGACATGTCGGCACACCTACTTGCAGGATTCAAAAGTGTCCCTTTGCACTATGACTCCATCAAGCCGAGGCTGACATTCGAACCTCTTGCACAAATCTGCGGTGTGCCGGTGATGCAGGACCGCCTGGCCGAGCAGCTCTGGGAAAACCCAGCTGTGCTGTTCAGCTGCCGAGGTGTGTCTCGGGTGCTCCAAGGAGCCGCAAAGGAGACCCGGCTGCTTCGATCGGTTCGGCCGAAATTCCTGGAGATTCAAGGTTTGGCCGCCCGAGCCCTGGATGCCAACGTCTCCATTGAGGTGAGTCACCTCGGGGCCGCTCAGAAAATCAAGCCGCTGGCAGAGGAAATCCTGCAGTGCCTCGGTGCGCTGCGTGATCTGGACTGTTTGGAGTCGGATCTCGGCAAAAAAGAGGACGACGAGGCCCGCAGATGCTCACAAGACTCAGCAGGCAGGCACCTCTTGAAGCGGTTGTCAGGCACTGGACAAGGTCTTGCAGGAGGCCCGGATGGTGCTGTGGTCTGGCTGCCCTCGCTTTGAAGGGTGCAAGAAGGCTGCCTTCCGCATAACGCGCCTTGGCTTATCGAGCTGTTCTGCTTGGCTGCAGTGGCTGAAAGGAAGTTTACGTCTATGTTATAAGGAGCCATGCATGCTTTAAACATCTTGGCAGCTGCTGTTACCCAGGAGCCTGGTGAGGAGCCTCAAGTTGTACTACCAGCAGGCTTGCCGCAAGAACCTCGAACTCAAAAAGTCTCAGCAGTTCCTTAGGCAGGTCATGTATCGTCGCCAGGCCGCAGCCACCAGCAGTCTTAAGTGCATCAATCGGTCGCTCTGAGAGTTGGAGAAACATACCATGCACCACACAGACAGCCACAAAAGTCATACTCTCCCGGTTCCGTCGCTCGAATTGAGTACTTGTACCACAGAAAGTGGATGCGACACTTTCTAACAGTGCTCGCAGCGTTTGTTTATGGCTGTAGCCGCTGCTCTATTGCATCATAAATTGTGTCTATACACTACTGTATACCACCACCACGACCACCACTACCCATACCACTTCCACCGTCACCACCGCTTCCATCACCGCCACCACCACAGCCACCACCACTACCACTATCATGATACTTATCCCCAACTGATTTTTTTGTAATGGTTGCTCTTGTTGTTCACTTCCTGCTGCTGCTGATGCTGCTGCTGCTAGTACTACGACTGCTTCTCCGAACTGCTACTGTTGTGTTAGCAGTACCTCGATCGGCAGCTAGTAGTATGAGCATGGTTATGATTTATGACGACGATTGCCAAGGTGCACTTCAGACTAGGCAACCTCCCCACAGCACCAACCCAGGTGCCACACCCCCACTGCCCCGGCCAGATCTGAACACTTTCACCAGCCAATGCTATTTGTTGAAACTATAGCTGGCAGGTAGTGCAGAAACTACGCCACTCAAAAAGCGTCCATCATGACCAAATACAGACAGCACCATCCACCACCGCCAAACAGATTTAAACACACAAAGCAACACAATTTCGAACTAATGAACAAAGCTCCAGCAACTCAACATTTTTAGGCTCGTCAACGAAAGCCTGCCGCCCAAAGATCTCCCATTGAGAGGTGCATCATTGGAAGCGCTTCGTGACCGAAAGCCTCATCACTGGCACGATATCACAGGCACAAACACGCGCGCGCGCGCGCGCGCCCACACACACACACATCAGCGTAAGTTGCGTCACCGAAATCTAAACAGCCTATGAGTTTCAAGTTCTTCACAGTCCTCCTATTTGAGGCTTCCTCCCCAACTCAAGCACCATGATTGCGTTGCGAGGTTACCAACATTTCTCCCTACAAACACGTATTCTCATTCTTCTTTCCTGATAGGAGTGGTTACGCTTGGATCACTCAGCTTCATGCCTGCATCTTGCAAATCTTGAGCAGCAGGCCAACAGCCCCCACATCCGATGGCGACCAAAGTCCATTGCAGATGCTCGGTTGCACGCAGATGGCGAGGACCCTCATCACCAGAAAGCCCTCTTCCTGTAAGACAGGGGTGTGCATTGTTGAAGTTGACTTGAACGAGGTGACTTGCTGAGACAGGCCTCCAGGTAGGTCAGACGTTGCATAAAGGATCACGGAAATTGGCGAGATCGATTGGGGGGGTCGGGGTGTGGTGTTAACATTACTCACTCTTCGGGCTTCCAGGTTCGGATCCTTTGACTTGGGGACACGGTGGTCATGTTGCCGATGACCCCGAACCCTTTCAACCCTAAACCCTAAACCCTGTGAGTTTTGGGCTCCGGGCTTCGGCTGCAGGTGTCGGATTTCGGGGTTCAAGTGCCCTGCAAGGTTTGGTTCGTGTGATTCTCAGGCCGTGCCGATGTTACTTGCCATGATCTATGACACTATGCTGTTCCACAGACCGAATGATGACACTGTGTCCATGCATTGACACTTTCTGCTTTTGGCCGCGCTTAACTCATCTGCAAATATTCGTTTTCATCCAAAGCGTTGAGACAACTTAGGGCCAGTCCTGCCTTAAATATTTAGCTGAAGCACTGCATCCCTCCGGCAGGTCAGTGTGCTAACAGTATAATAGACCTTTTGGCACTGAGTGTGAACAACGCTTGAAGATGGTCACCCGTTAAGGTAGATGCGTATCCAACGCATGACAGCTCGTATGATGAGGTTTGTCATGCGTGGGCTGAAACGGGAGGGTAACAAAAAACATGCAGCTTGGGTGTTGGAGCTTCGTGAGTGGCAGCGAAGCTGCTGTGAACTTCAAATGAAGCTTTTTGTGCTTGCAATATGGAACACAGGTCTTTCAGTAGTAATATGGCACTTGTGGAATTTGTTTGCGAAGATGTTGTTGCCACAATATGCTTCGAGAAAGCTTTGCGCAACGCTCCTCCAGCAAGACATGCAGAAGCTGGACCCCCTTGCACGAGGATTCCTTCAATCTAGCCAACAAACCTGCACGGCGACCCTAAAGAAAATCCTCCGTGCGCTATGGTACCATTCAGGGTTGCAGGGCAGGGTCTAGTGTACAGGATAGCTGCCAGTAGGCATTCGGAGAGGGGACCGGGGGGTGATATCAATACGTTTCTTTTCTTTCTGCGTCCAATGCAGATGGCTTGGCAGACTCCTGGAAGCAATGCAGACACCCACGTATATACCCTCAGCAACAGCAGCTTCTATTCACGGGTTTCTCTGGGCGTGCTGCGTGCCACCTGAAGTTGAGGGAAGGTTCGTGCTTTCTGAAAGAAGCCGTGTGTCCGAAGGAAGTGTGCGAGGACAATGACGTCGGAGACGTTTCTGAGGCATTCGGGACCACGATCATGCGCACACTCACACACACACACACACTCTGACTGACACTCCCAGGTGGTGTTGTTGCTGCCGTGTTCTGCTCCTCGCTGTCCTTCTGGAGCAACATAAGCCTTGAAGGATGACCCTCCAAGCCCTCTAAATGCCCGATATAGATGTAGTCTGCCCTGCTGCGCACTTCAGGACGAAGTCGGGGACGCCGACACACCTGAGCAGCCGCAAGCGCCAGCGGTGCAACAGGAGGCCGGCAGCAACCTGGGCAAGGAGCCCAGCGAGCTCCTAAGCATCACGGAGGCAACGCAGACTTCGAGAGGGGTAGGAGCTGAAGCGCCTCGAAGCGCCAGACCCGGGGCTCCAACTGGTCCAGCATCTTCGGCCGCTGGGGGGGAAGAAGCGCCCCCCAAGCCTCCGGAGCCGCATTTGACTCGCGAGCAGCACGAAGTGGAGATCCGACACTACCTTGTGGCCTTGGCGCAACAAGGCAGCTGCCCTCATGGACACGACGTGATCGACTTGCCTAAGGCGTTGGGAGGATCGAGCTGCAGCTTTTGCTGTAGAAACTGTGCCGGTGGGCTCCGGTGCCCCCAATGCAACAACCAGTTCTGCACCGCATGCCTGAAAGCAGCCTCCCATTACGATCCCTCAGCTACAGACTCTGTTGCAGAAGTCGTGAGCTACGCCAGAAGGTGTTCGGACGGGGGTTCGCCTCCTGCGCATGAGGAGGCTGCAGAAGCATTACTAGCAGAGCTGGCGCGAGAAACGCACCAGGAGCCCCAGGCGTTGCTGCTCCATGAGCTGGGCAAGGTTTGCAAGGCGAAAGGCGACCTGGAGGCAGCTGCGAGGCACCTCAACGAGTGTCTGAGCATGGACAGGGCTGTGCACGGAGAGGGAGCCCACCTAGAAGTGGCCGTCACGCTCCATGCGCTGGGCTTGGTTTGCCAGGCGCAAGGCGACCTGGAGGCAGCTGCCAGGCACCTCAACGAGTCCTTGACCATGAAGAAGGCTGTGCACGGAGAGGGAGCTCACCAAACAGTGGCCGTCACGCTCCATGAGCTGGGCAAGGTTTGCAAGGCGAAAGGCGACCTGAAGGCAGCTGCCAGGCACCTCAACGAGTGTTTGAGCATGGACAGGGGTGTGCACGGAGAGGGAGCTCACCAAAGAGTGGCCGTCACGCTTTATGAGCTGGGCTTGGTTTGCAAGGCGAAAGGCGACCTGGAGGCAGCTGCGAGGCACCTGAACGAGTGTTTGAGCATGGAGAGGGCTGTGCACGGAGAGGGAGCCCACCTAGAAGTGGCCGTCACGCTTTATGACCTGGGCAAGGTTTGCAAGGCGAAAGGCGACCTGGAGGCAGCTGCGAGGCACCTCAACGAGTCCTTGACCATGCAGAAGGCTGTGCACGGAGAGGGAGCTCACCAAACAGTGGCCGTCACGCTTTATGAGCTGGGCTTGGTTTGCAAGGCGCAGGGCGACCTGGAGGCAGCTGCGAGGCACCTCAACGAGTGTTTGAGCATGGAGAGGGCTGTGCATGGAGAAGGAGCCCACCAAACAGTGGCCGTCACGCTCCATGAGCTGGGCATGGTTTGCCAGGCGAAAGGCGACCTGAAGGCAGCTGCCAGGCACCTCAACGAGTCCTTGACCATGAAGAAGGCTGTGCACGGAGAGGGAGCTCACCAAACATTGGCCGTCACGCTTTATGAGCTGGGCAAGGTTTGCAATGCCAAAGGCGACCTGGAGGCAGCTGCGAGGCACCTCAACGAGTGTTTGAGCATGGAGAGGGCTGTGCACGGAGAGGGAGCCCACCAAACAGTGGCCGTCACGCTCCATAAGCTGGGCATGGTTTGCCAGGCGAAAGGCGACCTGAAGGCAGCTGCCAGGCACCTCAACGAGTCCTTGACCATGAAGAAGGCTGTGCACGGAGAGGGAGCTCACCAAACATTGGCCGTCACGCTCCATGAGCTGGGCAAGGTTTGCAAGGCGAAAGGCGACCTGGAGGCAGCTGCGAGGCACCTCAACGAGTGTCTGAGCATGGACAGGGCTGTGCACGGAGAGGGAGCTCACCAAAGAGTGGCCGTCACGCTTTATGAGCTGGGCTTGGTTTGCAAGGCGAAAGGCGACCTGGAGGCAGCTGCGAGGCACCTCAACGAGTGTTTGAGCATGGAGAGGGCTGTGCACGGAGAGGGAGCCCACCAAACAGTGGCCGTCACGCTCCATGAGCTGGGCAAGGTTTGCAAGGCGAAAGGCGACCTGGAGGCATCTGCCAGGCACCTCAACGAGTGTTTGAGCATGGAGAGGGCTGTGCATGGAGAGGGAGCTCACCAACAAATGGCCGTCACGCTCCATGCGCTGGGCATGGTTTGCAATGCGAAAGGCGACCTGGAGGCAGCTGCGAGGCACCTCACCGAGTCCTTGACCATGAAGAAGGCTGTGCACAGAGAAGGAGCTCACCAAACAGTGGCCGTCACGCTCCATGAGCTGGGCAAGGTTTGCAAGGCGAAAGGCGACCTGGAGGCAGCTGCGAGGCACCTCAACGAGTGTTTGAGCATGGAGAGGGCTGTGCACGGAGAGGGAGCCCACCAAACAGTGGCCGTCACGCTCCATGAGCTGGGCAAGGTTTGCAAGGCGAAAGGCGACCTGGAGGCATCTGCCAGGCACCTCACCGAGTCCTTGACCATGAAGAGGGCTGCGCACGGAGAGGGGGCCCACCTAGAAGTGGCCGTCACGCTTTATGAGCTGGGCTTGGTTTGCAATGCGAAAGGCGACCTGGAGGCAGCTGCGAGGCACCTCACCGAGTCCTTGACCATGAAGAAGGCTGTGCACAGAGAGGGAGCTCACCAAACAGTGGCCGTCACGCTCCATGAGCTGGGCAAGGTTTGCAAGGCGAAAGGCGACCTGGAGGCAGCTGCCAGGCACCTCAACGAGTCCTTGACCATGAAGAAGGCTGTGCACGGAGAGGGAGCCCACCTAGAAGTGGCCGTCACGCTCCATGCGCTGGGCAAGGTTTGCAAGGCGAAAGGCGACCTGGAGGCAGCTGCGAGGCACCTCAACGAGTCCTTGACCATGAAGAAGGCTGTGCACGGAGAGGGAGCCCACCAAACAGTGGCCGTCACGCTCCATGAGCTGGGCACTGGAGGCAGCTGCGAGGCACCTCACCGAGTCCTTGACCATGAAGAGGGCTGTGCACGGAGAGGGAGCCCACCAAGAAGTGGCCGTTACGCTTTATGAGCTGGGCTTGGTTTGCAAGGCGAAAGGCGACCTGGAGGCAGCTGCGAGGCACCTGAAGGAGTCCTGGAGCATTCAGAGGTTCTTTAGGTAGTTTTTTCGGTCGGGCGCTACAACGTCCGTGTGCTTTGCGGAAAGGTGCGACTTACGACTGTACAGAGTCTGCCCTTCGAGCTGACCCGACGTGTCCCAAATGCATTACTGTGACCTGCACACGCCCCTGTCTTATGAGCTCCTCAATGCCCTAAGTCCCTCCCAGCCAGAGTAAAGCTTAAATGCTGCCAAAGTTCACTTCTTCCTCGCTTGGCAGGTCCTGGACGGCATGTCCAGGTGTGAGCCCTGATGGGGGAGTGTGGGTCGAGGAGGGAGAGGGGAGGTGGCAAAGACATTTCTCGCTAATGTGGCTGGAAGCTTGGGGGGCAAGGGTGTAGGGTTTAGGGTTTCGGGTTTAGGGTTTAGGGTTTAGGGTTTCCACGGCAGATGCTTAGGGGCTCCAAGGTCCATGTGAGCGTCGATGCATTCGCTGGTCAGTTCATTCTTCTAGGCCTAAGTCTCCGAGTGCATTCCCGATGGGTGCCAAGACCGCTGCGGACACGCTTTGCCGTTGACATCCATGCAGCGGCGACTGACTTGGCACATTGATCTCGCGTATGCTTTACAAGTTTAGTTGTTCCAGGCGAGGCCTCAAGGTTTCGGGCGCAAAGGGTTATCTTAGAAATTCTCCGGCTTGCCCCTGGTGACGTGTTGATGGATGGTTCTCGGAATGGGGCTTTTAGAGCTGACTCGAAGGTGCATTGAGACAGCAGGTGCGGTGATGCCTTCAAAGCCAGTTTCGGCAGCCTTGACACGACCCTGTCCCTGCCGAGTCCCTGCATCGTAAACCCTAAACCCTAATCCCTAAACCCCCAAAAGAAGCCTTATAAGCCTAAGGTCCCAAATCCGTTTCGCCATCCTGGAGAGCAAAGAACCTGATCACAATCGTAGCCGCGCGCCACTTCTGTTCCTCAACGAATCTTTAGGGCTTAGGGTTTAGGGTTTAGAGTTTAGGGTTTAGGGTTTAGGGTTTAGGGTTTAGGGTTTAGGGTTTAGGGTTTAGGGTTTAGGGAACCCTGCAAACACAGTTGAAGGTTCTTCCCGGGTGCTATTGTATAAGTCCCTTCGAAAAACTTTCGGAGGAGGCCCCGAAACCGAATCCCGTCGCTTAAACTTGAGAAAGCCCCACACAGGCACGGCAGCTCCGATTCGCTTCGGTCATGGCGACGCATTGCCCTTGTCCTCAAGCTTGAGGTTGCCACGTGGGTGACGGGTTCCGGGTTTCGGGTTTGGAGTTACGTTGGGCTGCAAACAGCGTTGCTTTTTGTCAACATCATCCTGAACCAGTCGTGAACTGTTTGATGTTTTTGCTTCGCAGAATACCGTGGACACGAGCCTGGCCCATGTTTCTCGAGTTCAAGGGTCTCTGTATGAGCTTGATGTGTTGGTCTCCTTTTCAGTTGCTCCTGACGAGTGGTTGTGAGCTGTCGCTGTTGGGGCGTTATTGACGTGTGATGTGGTGCTGTCGTGGAGAGATGGCGCTGCCACATTGCCGTCTCCGGCAGTTGCATAGTGCGGCTTCAAAAAGTTTAACAGTTCCTCCAATATGGTCCTTGTTGGTTTGGGAGCCTTGAGGCCTTTATAGGGCAAACCCCAGTTGCAAGTGCAGCCAGTGGACAGGCATCTCCTCATTCAGTCGCTTTACATAGTCTGCAACACCACCGGGAACGTTGGCAATAGCCGCTAGCCAGAGTATCCTTCAACAAGTGCTGCGCTCACCTTGTAGCACTGCGCAATGCAGGGGGTTTGCTTAGTGACTTACAGTCGCCGGAAGAGCCTAAAGCGACACGGAGTTCTGAGGGGCTGTATGCAGTGCATAGGAGCTTGTCGAACCCTAGATTTACCAGTTGTGTCATATTTGTGGAAGATCTGCTTAACCCCTGAAAAGCTTAACTGTTCGACGATCACCTAGGCACCCAAAGAATTGATGCACCCAGGTCTGGCTGGCGATGTCAGCTGGATGAAGGATGCGTGCTCTGAGGCCGGAAAAGCGCACGATGCGGTCAACGACTGAAGCTACACAGTTTTTTTCCATGAATTTGCGTTTAAAATCTTATAGCAGGTGTGCTGGATGCCCATTTGTGGCCTGCGCTGCTCAGATGGCGTGTAGTTCCGTTGTTTTACCTCACGAATCTTGGGGGGGCGCATGTCAATTGAAATTGTACAGCTACGCCTGAAAACCCGAACGCCAAGCCCCAGAGCTCCTGGACTGAGCGTTTTCAACTGCGCTCTTTTCAAATTCTGAACTACATGGCTTTAATCAGTATTCCCACGGAGGTTTGGATCCTGTCTGGTGGCCGGCTGCGCAGGCACTGCCCGCGCCCAAGGTGTGTGTGGGTGGGGGGGGGTGGGGTCGAGGTAGCCTTTAAGAGAGGAGTTCAAGGCCACTTCTGACTTCTGCTGACAAATTCTTGCGGATTCAGCATTCTGAGTTTGAACGGCCGGCTTTGGCTTCAAACAACAGGTGAGCCCAGATTTGGGTCCGAAATCTAGCTCGTCGTTAGAGTTCATACGGATTTTGATTGGCTTCTCAGTTAGGGTTCCCTCCAAGGTGAACGGGATGGCCGGCGCAAGGCTTATCGTTGAGGGTACCTCTTCTCGGGCTTTGCTAGGTTCCCACTCAGCAGAAACAAACCAGGTGCCGGAGCATGAAGCCAATCGTCCTCAACAGAATGACCGTTGCGTCCCCGAAGTGCAGCGTAGACTAGGCTTACGTATCTATGTCTACCAGTCGTGTTACTTGGGGTTTGGGGTTATTCTAGGGCCCACGCCATGTCCTGAATGCAGTCATGATGCAGTCAAGCAGTCAAGGTCCCAACCGCCCAGATGGTTTCGAGGAGCTGCTGGCTTGTTCTGGGCAGCACACGCGTGCAAATGTCGCACGATATTAGGCTACGATCAGTCCTTTCACAACTTAACTTGTGACTTAAGCTTCAAGGGTTAAGGTTTATGATATAAGGAGTTTTTCGCGTGGTTTCGCGACGAGCGGTTCAACTCAGGGGTGACAGTAGGGGGTGCAGGAAATGCTACCATGCATTATTCGTTCATAGTAGGGAAAATGGGAAGTTTAGGTATTGTAATATCCTTTAACATATAACCCCGAAGGGATTACGTAGAACGCAACTCCTAGCTTCCTATTAGGAGTTTGCAAGTTCCCCACGGCTCTTCAACTGCAGGCCATGTGCCCAGTAAGACGATGACTCCCTTGAACACGCGGAGGTGCGCTCTCGCGTCGAAGAATATGTTTCACCCAACCAGTTGGGCGGGGGGTTTGTTTGGCAACAAACAAACGTTACCACAAAATCTCGAAATGACAACCAATCATGCGAGTGTGCGTGCTGCTTTTGCTGGGTGGGGGGCTGTAAGCAATCCTTCGGCACCAGAAGCCCAAGACCCATCAGACAAACAAAAACTTTGAGCAGCCAGCCCCCACAGTCCTAAACTTTAAATCCCTTTCCTGTGAAAACCTCCAAACCCTAAAACCGAACCCTAGAAGTCCTAAATTCTCCTAGACCCCGAAACTCCGAGCCTCGTGTATGCCCTAACCTACACACTACTCCTAAGCCACCGAAGATCTCTTTATCAGGAAATCTCGCGCTATGCTGCTCTGCGCAGTCGCCAGGGGGCCTTGCGAAGAAAGGGTCCAGAGTTTCGGGTTTTAGGGGGCCCTCTTCGATGATTGTGGGATTAAAACAGGGGCCTTCCATGGGTCCATCACTGTATCCAGCTGTTCCAGATTGTCAGCGAATTTGATATCGGATATGGTTTGTTTTTTGAGTCAGGGTGCTTCAAAGTTTCCAAACGTTTCCTGATTCTTTGGCTGCAGCGACTTGAGAGTCTCGAGGAATAGGCACGACAGTGCACGACCGCCTTCTTGACTGAGGCATGGGCAACATCAACGCTTGAGTCCGATGCCCCAGGATGAGGCCCGCAGGAGTAACGCACCACCGAAGCAGTGCGAAAGGCTTCCACCATGGAGCTCCATGCCCCCCACGTTCTCGATGCTGTTCCGCACTCCATTCATGGCCATGTGCCGACAGCCTGTAGTAAGATTCGAGGAGCTGGTCGGGTTAGTTTGCTTTCAGCGCATGAGCTAGAGCTAAACCTTACCAGGCGACTCTGCAAAGATTACCTTGAATTGCAGTGGAATTGCAGTGGCCCTTGCGCCCCAAGCGTATCGCATTCTGAGCTGGATTCACCCACCACTCGACGCACTGCACTTGGCCAGGTCCAAAAAGGCTGAACTCCTGCGAAGCAGATGCGCGCTGGTGAAAAAGAGTACCGCAAAGCGCTGTTGGAGCAAGTCAGCCTCGTCAATCAGCATGTAGGGTTCCAGGCCTTTTGCTATCAACCCCATACATTCCCAGTTGCTGTGCCTCAGCCTTCCCTCCGTAGCACTTAGCACCATCGTCTTGCACAACTGAGGTCCGGACCGTCTTGGACTTCGTAGATCGCGTGTCCAATGCGCTGGGGCCTCAGGTTCCTCGAGGTGTAAGGATGCCCAGTGTTACTTACGCTTTACGCTTTTATAAACTCCCTAAAATGCTCTCATGAAACCGCATCGGTACCCTTTTCGTCTTGGGCTGCTGGCGAGTAGGGTTTAGATTTTGGACGGTTCGGGCTTAACCAATGATGTCTTATAGGCATATCGGATGCAAAGGGGGATGCAGTTCGACAGTTGGAGCTCCGGTTGAAGGCGTGGAGGTTCGGGTCTACGTCTTGTCGCCAGAATTTCCTACCAGTCCCTGTGGCACCCTGAATAACTTATTCCCGTTGTTGGGGCTAGGATCCCTTGCCAACCCAATCCGGCAAAGAAGGGCGCCGCTGTTTCTCCTACATTGCTTCGGAACCTACAGCAAAAACCTCTGCAATTGTAACGTGGTACAGTCGCCCTTGGATTGGTGTTTCAC